TTTCCGTTATTCCTCCTCTACTCTGTGTCTGTACATGAGTGCTTTTGTGCTCTATGTGTGTGCATATACTATATATTGTGTCCTAGCTGAGCCTCAAAATTAAGGCAGTCCACAGTAAAGCTGGATATTACTGAAATGCATCTTTCACACCAAAAAATTGCTTTTTTCAAAATGCCTTCTAGAGTGCATGATTCTGAAAATGTCATCCTCGCATTTATATGGAAATCGGAGCTTGTGGATAATGAGTGCTCAGTCATAGATGAGGGTTGGGTTGCAGTAAAGTTAAGAACACAACTTTCTGTCTCTATCCCACCTCTGATCCACATCTGCTCTGGACTCTTTGGATCAGAGCAGACTCTCACTTTTTGTTTTACCTCAAGTTAGATAAATAGTTTTAAATTGATGGCTTGTTTGCAACTTATATCCCCTAAACCAATCAGGCAATTCCTTAGGAGAGTTCTGGTCAAAACTACAAAAATAAGACTGAACAGGAATTGTCCTTTAATTCTTTTAGCGTTGAAAACAAATGGCAGATAATGAACTATTTTAATAACCAGTTTAATAAACCCCACACTGTGATTGTTTTTGTGATCGTTCTGGTTGTAGCTCCTCCAGTGTCAGGATCTACTGCGTTTGCTGTGGGCCGCGGTTGAAGCCTTGAGTTCCGGAAACCTTTTCTGATGTTTAATAGATAAAACAATGAACCAATCATCAGATCAACTGACAATTAAACTAATCAGCAGCCCTTAAGACAACTGATAATATTTATTTTACTTTATACCAAATACTTGGCTGGCCACAAAGAACTCTTTCACTCTTCTGTTAATTCACAAACTTCCGTAGTCTTGTTGGTAAGTGGTAATGGTCATATCATTGTGCCCATGTTGCTGGACTGCTGGCTGCCATTACAGTCTCTCTTATCCCTTTAATCCTCAGTTTTTAAAGCTGCTAATTGATATTTTGGTCATTCGGGGGCAGCAGAAAAAACTGTAAACAACATGGACACATTATCACCTTAAAGTTGTTATGGTTGCTTATTTATCACACACAAGAAGCAACAACATCTTTCATTTAGAGTCATGTAGTCTGTAAATGTAAGTCCAATAAAAAGTCTTTTTTTTAGCTGTTTTGGTCTATACCAACTCCTGAGAGAATCTGTATGTATCACCATGCTCACCAGCTAGTCGCTAACTTTGGCTGTCAGCTGTACTGCATGTGTTGCTGCAGTCTGTTTATCAGAGCTTTCTTACTGTCAAGAGCAGCCTGCTGCGACTGGAAGCAGCGCCGATGAGAGTGGACAGAGTGAGCCAACGGTACAGTTGTGAAACCAAAACAATGAGCTCAAAGACATAATAAATATACATGAAGACTAAAATGTTCTGTAGAGCTGAAGGGGGCAGCAGTGTTCATCCTCTGTGGATTTGTCATTACAAGTGACCCCCGCCATTTGATGCATTTTTAATGGAGCAATATGATATGAAATATGAAACTTTAATTAAAGTACTATGAATACTTTATGATTTGGTTAATTAGATTTATTTTTTCTTTCACTCTGACACAGAGGTTCCGAGTGAAGGACAGCTAAAAACAAAATATAAATCATCCTGAGGCATGAACTCACACTTTGTCCCCACGCAGGTAAAATCACTCTATCTTCATATAAAAGGGACAAATGGTTAAAACGAAAGAGATTTACACCTCGTACAGTCTTGCACATTGTGGGCTTTGGACGTCAAGCCAACTGAAGTAGTTTGTTTTGCTCTTCAACTTTTATCTGTAGGCTGCTCGTGTTTCTCTGCTCACAAACCAATCACCACTTCTGAAACAACCTATAAAGAAATCAGCCACTCTCCTCCTGAGCAGCCTCTCGTCTGTCTTCTTCCCCTTTCTCTACTCTCTTATTCTGCCTCCATCCCATTGTCTCTTCCCCACCGTCTCTGTTTACTCATTCCCTCTCCATTTCTTCCTCTGTGTCTTCTATTGATGGATCCAAAAGTTCAGGTCCTCAGTCCTCAGAATGCCAAATAGTGTTTAAGCTGTCCCACCACTGAGCTCAGAGCCTTCACGGACAAACACCAATCAATACACTCTGACTTTTACAGAGCACACATGTCATGAGTTTCAATTGATTGCGGTGCAGTTCATTTTTTTTTTATATACAACTAATTTGCAACAGCAGCTATGTTGGGAAATGTAATGACACCTGATCTTGCAACACTTGTAGTGAAAGCATTATTGATTTTTTTTTTTTTTTTTAAGAGTTATGGAAAGTTTGCAGTCTAGTTTAATACAATTAATACAGTTTAATACAAAGAAGTCTGCAGTGACTTGAGATGTGTTCATTAACATTTACAGGAGATATGAAGTTGTAAAATGACAAAAGTTTTAGTATAACTGAATACATCTCATGCAAAAGTGATTTATAGCTGCATTATTGCACTCTATCAAGAGGAAATGTTAGAAAATATGTATTGTTCTCTTCTGTCACACAGCACAAGTAATTAGTGATAACAGTTGTTGAACAATATACAAAACACCCACCTGATCTCAACAGAGGCTCCACTTCACCTGTGATTGTCTGGTCTCATTATCCCTACAATAGGTAACTGCCACTCTAACATGATTGCTTTTGTTTTCCAATGAAAACAGGCTGCTTGAAACAAGTTCTTTGTTTTGAGAGCCTCGTTAGCAAATGGAAAAAATTATAATGATTAACAATGCAATGACAAACTTAACACTGAAAGAAATCTTTGTTTCAAAGTAGAACATCAACCATTTTGTAAGTGTGCAGAGATCTTAATGTAAAAACGCCAAAACGGACTTTCCAAAAAAGTCACCTTGTGTAACTAATGACATTGAAATTGCTGTTTAGGTGTGCCATTGCTGGGATCCTGTTCCTACTGTCATGAATTGCCAGTAATCCATGCCAGTAATCCTTCTCCTCACAGCATTCACGCAGCCTGCAGGTTCAGATGAAGACAAAGCAACAAACGAACACCGTAGGGGTGTAAAATTTAAATATACTTTAATCATAGAGCAATCATTCAAGCAAATTGCTGAAAATAGTTTTTCTTTTAGAATATTTATGCTCCTTTCTTACAGAAAACATTTCTGGTATAAATAAGAGAGTAAATGCGCGTCATTAGACCAGATGGGCCTCCTCCTGACATGGGTTGAAATACGATTAGACACTACTCTGCTTTGGGGAACAGAACTCCATTTAATATTACTGATGTCTAAATGTTTAAAAGACTTTGCAGCTTGTCTACTTGGGACAGAAAGAAAGAGAGAGTATCTTAATTTCTACAGAAATAATTACAGCAACACCTTTAATACCTTTAAACCATTTGACAATAGGAATCAGGAGTTTGAATTACTTGCCACTAATGCCAGGTTTTACTCCCAGAACATTTATATGTCATGCCACAATTAAGTCTTTTTTGAGATTTCTGGGCCTAGTTATTCCCAGAACAACACAGAATATTATTTTTGAAGGTATGCCAGAAATCCCACTATTGTTGGATCGTATTCAATGGAAACTCCCAGTTCAGCCTGACTTACTGGCACAGGGTATGTTGCCACTTCACTTTCCTGAGGAACTGATGTTTTTCCCCTTGTTCCTGAGACAATTGAGCTGTTTGTCATACGACTACCTCAGGAGAAGGTGGGGACACTGCAGGGGGCTTGGGTACCTTTGAGTATCTATTTGCAGAGGTGGAAGTAGTAGCCAGACACACAGAGACAAATAGAGAAATAACTCAATGTATAACAATTGCTGAACTTATAAAGAGAAAAATATAGAAATAATTTATTGTTGACAGCGTTTCATAAAGTTTATTAAGTTTCTCCTAACTCAACAACTCACAAAATTGCAAGAATTTCAAGGGAGTCTGGATTTCTCCACTGGTGAGAGAAAGTAACCCATATTGGTTAATTGGTTTGTTTACTATATTGTTTATACAATGTTGACTTCTTTCATAGAGTAAATGGGGAAATCTTTTGAATCTGTGTTAAAATACTGCTGCTAAATGTTGGCAGGTAAGGTGCACTTCAGATACAGAGCAGCCAGAAGTTGCTGTCAGTCAAGGCTGCTTACTTGTGCTTACGCTGGCTTCTGCCAAGAGGCTGAGAAAGGTCTCTGTCCATCACATCTTGTGTAGGTTCTTGCCCAAGGATACATTAATAATTTACTGGGTGGACTCCGCCGTCCTAGGTTTGAGGCGTCTACCTGTTTCCATTCGGCTTTGCATCTGGCGGGCTCTCTCCGTCCCTCTAGTTTTAAAATCTTGCAATGCAGCAAGCTCATAGCATCTGTTGCCTTGGCTTGAGGCAGCAGTACTTGCATCTGGCAGTACATGCTGGCACAGTAGTGTGTGCATAATGAACATATGTAAATAGTTAATTTGCATTGGGCAGCAGCACTGTTGGTGTTTAATTTTGTTATTCTTGTTTTATTTGGTTGGACTTCATGGGGTGTCCTGTGTACTGCTTGTAGTAAAGTTTAACAGTTATTTACTTACTTACTTGCGTCATATGAACAACCATATTACTGATAAAACTGTTAGAAATTGAATCCAAAATTAAATTTTGTTTCACCAAATGTATACATTTGACATACACCAGGTTTACCCTAAGTTGTAACCTGACAATAACACTGTTGCTATTTCCTGTCTACACTCTTTCTGTGCACAGGTTATCTATGTTAGCTGCAGGGGTTACGTTATTGTAATTCCCTGCAGAGTGGAATAAAAAGTCAGAGAGAGAGAGAGTTTGTGTTTTTTGGGCAAATTATTACAAAAAAGATGGATTGAGGGATAATGTTGCTAGGAGACCCTGACATCAGCTATTTATCCCACTTGCATTCAGACTCACTTGTGTGTGTGTGTGTGTGTGTGTGTGTGTGTGTGTGTGTGTGTGTGTGTGTGTGTGCCTCCTCTCCCCACTGCGTCTGTGTGTCCTTGCTCTCGCTCGTACTATAAAGCCGTCAGCATCTCCTTCGCTCTCTGCTCTCTGCTCGAGTAAAGTCAATGCTGTTTCCCCCTGAAACATAAATTACAGCAAACTCAACCATGGTCGGAGAATGAACAACGGATGATGCCTGAGGTTTTTCTTTTTTGATACAAAGAATTTTGTCTACTTTCGTCTAGGCTGTAGAGCAAACATCAACTCCCACACAAGCCGGTGTCTTCTTTGAATCAAATGACTTCTGTCCTCAAAAGCAAAAAAACCCTGAATGGAGGGTTAAGACATGGAGAGAGAAAATGCTTGAACCTCACTATGGAAATAAGCAGCAGCGGACGAAAGAGAGGTGAAGAAGAAAAGGAAGCTGTGAGTACGATGGAATGTTTACCTTTGGGTATTTGATGACCGAGCTCGTAGAAGACATTGCTCTGCCTCTCAGCAAACACTCTTCTCCTTGTGAACAAATCCCCACGGCTGCCTGGAGGCTCGCTTATCTCACCAGTCAGAAACACAGCATGCTTTAAAGCTCTGGAGGGTGATGTTGTGGCGGTTTTTCATCCAACCTGATGTGAAGAAAAGAATCACTTTCACCTCTTTTGTTTGACTTCTGTGCTCCCGTGTCCTCTCCACAGGAACACGTCACATAATTTCTCTCTTACTATGCTCCTGCTTTGCTCTGCAATGAAATGAACACCTCTGGGCTACTTGAGGGATCTTTGTCTGACCTTGTCGGTTCCCCTTTTCGCTCTGTCTCATCCATTGCTCCACCTTTTCATTCACCTTGCAAACTTTTCCCTTTCATGCCTAATTCCTCCATTTCTTTCCTTCCCAAATATTTTTTTTCCGTGGACACGCTCACCTTTTAGCTTATTATCGATCATCAAATGTTCCTACCGTGCACCTCTGTTGACCACTCACTACTGCGCTCCTGATTTTTCCCTTTTGCCCGTATTATCCTCTCCTGTTTCTCCATTTTCAGCTCTCCATATTTCTTTCCTTTCTTAAGCCTGAGGGCACCCAGGACCCAGTGGCTGAATGTCTCAAATGCACATGTACTGCACATTCTCTCCCTCCTAATTGACACCTCTTCCACTATACCTCTCACAACCCGCTCTCCTTCCTCAAGACTTTTCCTCTCACCTCCCTCACATTTATCCTTCCCATCCTGTCACAATGTACTCCTCCGAGGAGCTCTGGAACACCACCGAGCAGGTCTGGATCAATGGCTCAGAGGCAAACTTCTCTCTGGGAAGAAGACGTGGAGACAATGAGGAGGAGGAAGGAGAACAGCACCCTTTCCTCACCGATGCCTGGCTGGTCCCCCTCTTCTTTGCCCTCATCATGCTGGTCGGACTGGTGGGCAACTCTCTGGTTATTTATGTAATTTCCAAACACAGGCAGATGAGAACAGCAACCAACTTCTACATAGGTGAGTAACACCAACGAGTTTGTATTCTGTGAAAGAGATGGATGCATATCCAGGACATCCTGGAGATTAATTGGCTAAGATGTGTACGTTATCATGAACTCCCAGTGACTCAGCTTATATCATAATGCATCACACAGTTTGCATGTCTCTTTCATCTATCCAGGAACGCTTCATTGCATGCCAACAGAGGGTTCAAAAGAGCTTCAGGGGTTCAGAGGGTAGTTCAGTGTAATTTCACTCACAATTAATGCACAGCTTTATGTTGGAACGTCAGTGTTGATTACAAGTTTCACTTTTACAGGGGTCTTCAACATTCTTCAAGCCAAGCCAAGAACCCCTTCAGTCAGAGCAGGGCCCCCCTATTACATAAAGTGTATAAAATTGTGTTGCATATTAAACTGGACCTACAATAATGAATCGGGTGGTCATGCATACAATATTGACAGATTCATGTTTTAATTTCCAACAAACATATGAATTTTATCTTTGCTAATAATATGTTGGTTTCATGTTAATGTGTATTTTCAAATATATTTATATTTAAAAACTATTATCAAACAATGATTTGGTGCCCCCCTCCAGGGGTTGTGGACCCCCTGTTAAAGACCAAGGGCTTAGGGGATACGTAATATTAAAGTACACAAAATGGTGTAAATTTGTAGCCGTTATGTCATTTGTTTTGTTCCATAAGAAAAATACTTGCTTAATTTACTAATGTTAGCTGAATTTCCATGAATTAATGTAAAATCCACTACTGAAGCAAATATTAGCAGTTGGAGCGCATTGACATAAACAGTTGGTAAGACAAATTTTCCAGTTGGATGCCATTCATTAAAACTACGTCAGTCAAACCTCAAAAAATGGAAATCAATATAGAAAACATGAATGAAATATAGTATTTTGTTTGGTTCATGTATTAATTTAAGGAGAGTTACAGTCTTCTTATCACTGTACAAAGATCTGTTACTCTCGTCTCTTCAGTCGAGCAGATGATGTCAATAATTAAATGCTTCATGTGCATCATAATTTTCCCGCTAAGTCTGTTTCCGTTGCATTTTGTTTTTATTGATAAATTGATTTTCTACCTCAGCCAAGTGTGAAAACGTTACACTTTTTCTGCCTTTTCTCGAATTTCTAGCGTTTACACTTTAATGTTTTTTAAATTTAAATACACATTAAAAACAGATGGATAGAAAAGTACTTATATAGATGTTGTTCTGGGGAATGCATTGATCTCAGATGTATCAGGTAAAAGAAAATAAATCAAAAGAGTGCATCAACCATGGCCTGCCTCACGTCTCCTCTGGCTTCCAGTGTACACTAAGCGGAAACCTGGATGATTGATTTGTGTTGTTTAAGTCAATAACAGCACGTCTGATAGAGCTGTGACGTCACCTGTCACTTGAGAAGAATTGCGAAGGTGATTGATTAACTGAGGTGAAGTCCACAGGAGATAAGAATTAGCCTAGAATAATAGATGCATGTCACATAGATACATGTAAATGAGCTTGACTGCTCATGTGTGAATGCAGCAAAGTGGTTTGTGCAGTTCTGTGATTTACTGTAGAAACCATTTCTGTCTGGGTTTGCATATTACACTGTGTATGTGAGAAGAATGTGATCTGGATGGATGGATAATATCCCAAGGCCACGGCATTGAAACTGTTTAATATTCAGTAACATTAGATTAGCACATGCACCATCTGCACACCCTTTCAACATAATGGTCCAGCTAATGTGATTAGATCAGCTAGTAAAACAAATAGGAGATACTGTGTGGCGTATTTGTCAGAATGACAGATTAAACAGGAAAAAGGGGAAGACGAGATTGGACTGTCAAGGTTATCAATGTAACTGTAAACAAGAATTTTATACGAAGATAATGCGTAGGCAATGTAGATTTAAATGAAACATTTTCTGTTTTTTGAGTGAGTGTGTGTAGCTGTAAGACCTGTTGTCAGTCAATCAGCTGTTGGGGCCTTGATTTTCTAAAAGCACATACAGCATCTTAAGCATCAAGTCAACATGCTGATTCTGAAGTACTCTCTTAATACCTGACATCAGACAAAACTCATGCAGTCCTGCGGTGGACACAGAAACAACAGTTTCAATTAACACAATGTCCACAAAAGTAATCACGTTATTTTACATGGGTTGTTCATGACGTCTTTAATACAGTATCCATGTGACATCCAGTCCCTATTAAGTCACATTTACAATCTCTGGATGCAGATTTAACTTTTGGATGTGGTGTAAGGCCACAACAACTACAGTACAGATTATTTTCATTATCAGTTAATCTGTTGATAGTTTTCTCAATGAATCAATGAATTGTGTCACAAACCTGTTACCCATCCAAGTTTCTGAAAGCCCAGGTCAACATAAAGTATTCAAATGTCTTGTTTTGGCCGACCAACTGTCCAAAACCCAGAGAGATTTAGATGAATATAATGAGACTGTGGTGTTATTTAATTTGGAGGACTTGTTGCATAGAACACTAAGAAAACCAGCAATATTCACTTTTGAGACGCGAAAGAGAATTTTCGTTTTTTTGCTTGAAAAATTATATGATTAATCAATTATTGAAACAGTTGCTAATTATCCGAATTCGAATGATTATTGATTAATCAATTCATTTAGCTCTAACGTGGTGCCATTAAGCCTGCACGTCCTGTAAAAGTATATATAGATGGTTATTATTATGGTGGGATGGTTGAATGTTTAATCACTGAAGAGCGTGATATATACCCAAACCCTATCCTTAGATACACTCTCATTAGACATCCTGTATTGTTTTCTTTCCGTGCAGCAAACCTGGCAGCGACTGACATCATCTTCTTGGTGTGCTGCGTCCCCTTCACTGCAACTCTCTATCCTCTCCCTGGATGGATATTTGGCAACTTCATGTGCAAATTTGTTGCCTTTCTACAGCAGGTAAAAACATGACTCAACAATGATAATTACACATTTCTTGGCTGTAAAATGAGCTTTCACATACACATCAGTGTTGTTTCTCTGTGCTTTCTACAAAAGCTTATGAAAGAAAGACATTTATCAAACATGTTGGTTCTGAATAAATTAATTATAGTTAAATAAATGTACTAAAAATAAGCTATGATATTTAGTTTTGGTACAATCAAATGCTCTTTTTAATCAGCTGAAGGAGGCCACAGTCTGTCCTTTAATTATAATTAAATGACAGTAAAGGATTATCTGAAGAAAGCTTCAATTCAAAAAGAGCCTTTGTTGCTGTTATTATTCACCAAATTATTACTCAAAGTAACACAAAAGCGCAGAGCGAGTACTTGAATTAAATGAGTATCTGGAACAGATTTTTAGAGCATCAAAAGTGAAATGCTAGTGAACATATTATCTAACAGATGTTTATTTATACATCCAGCAGTCACAGAACAACGTAAGCATTTATTTGGAGTTGTGTCCCTAACCCTAAGTCCAATATTCATTTTCCTTTTAGCCCTGTTTGATCTCACCAACTCCTGCGGAAAATGGCTCTTTAGTTGCTAAATGCTAATAATTTTCATCAGCTAGTTGCTAACTTCATCTGTCTGCCATTTGGGGCTGAGGAGGTTGCGTTCAGTGGGTTTCTCAGCTTGTTAACTGAAAACAACTGCCTGTTCCATCTGGAAACTGGATTGATGAGAGCAGTGTAACTGGACCAAAACAGTAAAGTTAAATAAAAACAATGAGCTAAAATAGGATAAAATGCTCTGCAGACCAATGTGTAACTGCAGGGTTTGGTGATTACAAGACTTGAAGCATATTGGAGTCTATGTAAAGATAGGGGGCAATATGAAGAAATATCTGCAAAGTATAAAAATATATATGTGTAGTTGCTAGTAATACATAAGCAAAGACCACGACTTGTTGACTTCATGCAGCTTATCTAAAGAGCCAATTAAAACATCCTTAAATGTACAACCATGTGACAATGGTCTTAAAAGGCCATGTTTTTCTGCTATAGTTAGCCCTGCACTAATAACTGGACCAAATATGCTCATTTGGCACCCAGAGCCTGAAAAGAAGCTTGAAAAAGACTCTACCGTAACTAAACTGAATCTGAATTTTCTGTTTTGTTTGGAGCTAGGGTTAAAAATGTACCTCATTCATTATAAAGCTAGAAGGGAGGAGGAGACAATCTGTCAGGTTGAAAAAAAGTAGAAGTTGTCTTTTTAATGCGTAATGACTAGATGGCTAATTTGAGTATAAAAGAGTAAGATGTTAAGAGGAAGGCTATGAACACAGGCAGGCGGGAGGAGAGGCTGAAAGCATGTTTAATTGAAAGCACAGAGACGTGATTTAATTTATTCATCTGAACACAGAGACCAGTACCTTTTGAGCTTGCCTTTGGTGAAACAACGACTTCTGAGGATGGTGACTGAGCCTGAGCCCTCTCCTTCAGAAAATGGAAAAAGTAATTGTCTGTCAAGCAGGCCTGTCTTAGCTTTGTCTTTTTTCTTTGTGTCTGTTTCAGCTCAACCATTTTCCCTGTCAGTCATCATCCAAACATGCATGTTTTTCTATCAAGAGAGACTGGCCACCATTTATTACTGCATGTGCATGGGAGAATGGTGATTAGGCTTTTAATAATTGTAATGAGACAGGAGAACCGCTCTTTTCAAAGAAATATGGAGCGTTAAGCTTGAGCACTGTCTCAAAATTTACACAGTTCAGTGAAAACAGCCAAAGGCAGACAGGAGGTAAAGTGAACTGCTGTGTTTACACTCATCATCAGTCTCTGTTAAACAAGCATTACATGACAGATTACCCCACTACTGCCGTGTGTCACATTATACAATTGATTGTACCACAGCAGAGAATGACCGAGGGCTTGTTGATGAAGACTGGCTCCAACTCACTTTCTCCTCTTCAGCTACGTTCATTAGCTCAGCAGTGTAAGGACAGAGCACTATTATATAGTTAGAGATATAACATGTTAATTAGTGAGCTCTAGAAGTACTGGTAGGCTGATTATATTAAGTTTGGGCAGAGCCAGGTGAGCTGTTTCTCTACTAGCTGTTTTTTCTTTCTTCTTCTAAGCTACCAGCTGTTGGAGTCCATATAGTGGTATCAATCTTCTTTGATAAATCTCAACAAGAAGGCGGATAAGCCTATTTCCCAAAATGTCAAACTGTCAAACCTTTAAAGCTGCATTGATTTACAGCTGGGGAACGTCTGAGGTCTACCAATACATAGACCTTGGGCCAATGGTGGAAGAAGATTCTTGAAATAAAAGTACCACAACAATTTAAAAAGACTCCATCACAAGTAAAACTTGTGCAAATAACTAGTTACTAATAAAATGGAAATACTCAAGTACAAGCACCCCACAATTTTACTCAAACATAAAATATGTAATTTCTGCCATTAGGGGGTCTCTCACAGCAAAAGAATAACCGTCTGATGACATCATGAAGTAACGTGGGATCATGGGAGTTTTTGCAGTCAGTTTCTCCCTGGTTAGAATTCCTTCATTGTTCATCGTTTCTGGAGGTTTTTATCAAGAGCCAAATTATGCGTAGAGGTCTCCTCCTCTTCAAATCAAACAAACTTGGTAATTAAAACCGGTAAAAAAAAAAGTGATTAAAGTAGTTTCACATTAAAAATCTGATTCTCTGTTTGGCAGACAAAGGACATCCCACATGCGAGCCGATCTGCCACTTATGTTAGCTCTGCTTCTTTCTCTGACTTAAGATCCAGATGTCAGATGACTAAAATCCTTCATCCCGTTGAAAACAACCAAGATCTAAAAAGTAAATATTACCAATGTGTCTTAAAACTGGATAAAAAGTAAATGTATTACAGCTTCTGGCAGACAACAATGCTGATATATGCATAAAGGGTTTATGATGCCATTGACAGTCAACAGGTGAAACTTAACGGAAGATTTCTCTGGGTTTGAACATTGAGGAAACCTCTGGGATAATAAGTATACAACTCAACAAAATATATAACATGAATCTAATATCAAGAGACATTTTAATGTGGAAATGTTACATAGGTTAGCTTTAAGTACAAGTTAAACTTTCCACCACTATATGGGTATGATACTACAAAAACAGTAGATGTGCAAAATCTTTGTCTTGCTGCTCGAGTCCTCAAGTCAAGTCAGAGTCCTCAACAAGTCATTGTGCACCAATGTTTTAACACTGGAGAATAGTAAAAGTACTGTGACTAAATGATTATTATATTAAACTCACATCCATAAATTCATGAATAATATACACTGAAATGACACAGCATCCAGATTTTGTTAATTCCAAGGTCATAGAGGGGAAGAGAAAGAACGAGACTGCTGCAGTGACAACCCATGCCAAACATTTCAGAACCAGCAGCAATCCTAGACTTATATCCATCCAGCCATGTGAGACAATGCCGACTGTTTATGTGTTCTGCAAAACAACATTAAGTATTCAATTCTTGGCTGTAAATCTCACTTCTCCGCACATATCTTCTAATATTCATGCAACCGGGGGGGAAGACTCTGTTTTTAATAATCTGGTGGTTCATCCTCTAGCATCATCCGCCAAACAGACTCTTCTTTTAAATCCATTTCTGGTAAGGGGCTTATAAAAAGCAAAAACAACAGGTTTTCATGTTCATAAGGGGTAAAATAAATTTTTCAGCCTGTAGAGGAAATGAACATACATACACACGTTAGTGGTATCAATTTTGGAAAGAAAGCAAATCTTTTAATTTTAAGTCAAATTTAATGTAATTGCCTTTAAATTCAACTTTAAACATTGAAGACAGAATGTAAAACACTAAGACCTGAATACACATGACAAGTAGGACTTCAACAAGTGTGAGACTTACTTTGATCATGTGCAATATTCACTGATATTTAGTGATTTTATACATTATCTGTGAAATTTCTATTGAAGCCAAATGTGTTATCATTTAGAGGTAAAATGTTTAACACTGAAATGGCTTTTTAGGACAGGTGGAGGTGTTTCTTTCTGTCGGGAAGCTGAATCAAAACATGAATTATTTTATTATATTATCTTGCGCTCTCTCACCCAGGCCTTTTAAAGATACATCACATCCTATTATTTTAGGAAAGATGAGCAACATAAAATCCAACCGTTATTAATGCAGTCTTTCCTCATCTCACTGAAAAGAAATGCAGGTGATCTAAATGTACTCTGTCTTCAATATCCAAGCCCGTTACTGAATAGACATTATGCATCGAACATAACATGGTAGTGTGTTCTTAATGCACCAGACGTCTTTAAAAAGGAGGGATTGTGGCACCCACTTCCTCAGTGGCCTCAACACTGAACTCATCATGACCCCTTTCTGTCTCTCTCATCATACGCTTTGAAACACTGATGTGGTGCTCCAAACCTCTAGAGGGTAATGGCTGCTGGCTTCACAGTCACAGATAAGAGGTGGAGAGAGAAAAATAGAAAGATACGTAAACATAAGAGAGACAAAATTAGATCCTATTTAGGGTAGAGTATATAGAGAGAACTTTTGACCCCTCATTTGTCACCCTGCAACACATATTTCAAAGGAATATGGATTAGTTCACCAGCATATAACACAGTATGACCCTCAGAGGTCCACGTATTTGAAGTAAACTGAAAATCATTGTACAGATGTGTATGAAAAGAGACCATCAATAGAAAGTGTCTACTCAGGGCTGCTTCATACTGTAGAACATAACAACTGTGAGACTTATTAAGTAAAATTAAGTGTTCAGCCGGAGATTAAATGTGTCTGTGAATTTCTTAAGAAAAAAGTGGGTTATGTGAGTCAACCTCTGCAAGTACCTGAACTTTCTACTGTTAAATGAATTCTACATTTGGCCATAAATTAGCAGTCTTCTGATGTGCCCTAGTTTAATTGAATCAAGCATCATTGAACCCTATTAAAAGTTAATTATTTGTTCATATGCAAATTAAAAATACTTATCGCAAATGCAGCCTCCTCTCTGCTTCCTGTTGCTCTGTATGTTGTCCTCTCTCAATCTTTCTCCTCCTACTTGCTCTTGGGTTTAAAAGCACGAGAGCTCATTAGCAAAAACCTCAGACAAGTTTTTTTGAGGACAACAAAACTACTCGAGCTTCTTTGCTTCTTAATGAGGAGTGATTAACTATAAGACTAGACGCACAGGACGCCATTAGAAAAGGCGTCTGTTTTGATTAGGCCACCCAAACTATTTTAGAAGATCTCATATGTTTGAGGCTTTTTGAGAGAACGGCTTCCTTAGATAGCTTGTGCACAAACTGTGGAAGCATTTTTTATCTTAAAAAACACATTGTTCGTGTTTGTAGCACTGGAAACAATGATATATGAATGATAAATAAATAATAACCCCCACTAGAGATCACCAAAGCCTCATTGGGGGGCAAGGCCTTTTTGATTTGAAGGGGTGTACGAAACATATACACAGTAGGCCTAAAGTCTCTGATAAACAGTGTTGTTCTGCATTTGAAACGTTCAAACAACCAAAGAGCTAATAGAACAATGAGAACAAAACACAGAATCTGTCAAAAAATACGCCTATTGAGTTTTTATTATTGTTGAAAATGATAAAATTACATAATACAGACCGAGAATTGTAATAAACTATTAGGAAAAATGACCTCATCTGATTAATATTCACAGGAAATAATCTGCTCAAAATTCATCCAAATCTCTAATTTTATGCAAACTTCCTGCATTTATTGTGTTCACTACTTTGGTTTATTGTACAGTTTATCAGTTGTTCTCTCATGTTATTGTTACACATTGAATATAATATGAAATATCCATAAAATATATCACTATTATATTCAATGCATAACAATGACAGTACAGAACAAATAAACTCAGTCAGTCAGTCAGTCAGTCAGTCAGTTTATTCAGTGATAGAAAAGGAAAAGGAATAAGGTTGGGAACCACTGTATTAGGGGATACTGAATACCTAATATATCTCTATATCTATGGGATCTTTTTGAATTTATAGCACAAACCATTGCTGATCTAAGTCACAGTTGTTTCTGTGTACTTTGTTCTGACTGTCTCATTACTGGATAGTCCTTCCTCCTCAGTAGGAACATAAGGTTGAGTAGAATGAGTAATGTCTGTGTTTGCGACTCAGAGATAATGTAAAATAAAAGTGTAAATTGAAAGCAGCTGTCAGTTGTCAAGTCAAATACATTTTGAGGGGAAAGTAATTATTGCCTGCATTATGTTCCCTTGCAATGTTTCTCCAGCGTAGGAAGTGTTACATTTTGGTTCTGCACACTAGTCAAAGGAAGAAGCATCCCAGGATTCACATCCCAAGTCCATTCAGGGTACGGTCAATTTTAGGGAACAAAAGCATTTTGGTTAAGGTTAGGACAAAGATTGTGATATCAATGGACCTTTCTATCAGTATTAAACTAAAAACAGCAATCTTTCCCTTAACCAAGTGCTATGAATGACTAATAGTTGTATCATGCCTTAGCATGGGCATGCACAGACATTTAGACATTTTGAGGGGCTGTTGCTCTAACCTGAAAAGCATAACTCCTAATGAGTTAGCCAGACATGATGCAAACATGTTAAAAAGGAATAAAAGTTTGGATGATGTAGTTATTTAATTTGGTCCAACTTTAGCAATTACTGGCTACTCATATTTATCCAGCAAAAATAAAACATTTATTTTTTCCTCCAGAGGGACACGCAGCCAAAGAGGGCAAATGGACTGCTTGAGCTGTGGTCAGATGTTGTATAGCAAGAGCACATACTGGAAAAACAAATGAAATATCCTTACCAACATTTTGCAACTTGGCAGATATGTTAATTACGAAAATGTTCTCATTATGTTGATAAAAAAGTGTAACATGCGTGGCATTATGTTTCTCCCAGAAAACATATTTGCTAAATAGAAAAAAAAAAATATTAGGAGATTTACACATGTGCATCACATATGTTTACTGTCTTTCCCAGGTGACAGTCCAAGCCACCTGTATCACTCTGACAGCTATGAGCGGTGACCGCTGTTACGTCACAGTCTACCCCCTGAAATCTCTCCGCCACCGCACCCCGAAAGTAGCCATGATTGTCAGCATCTGCATTTGGATTGGTATGTCCTGCTCGTATAATGAATATGACTACCATTTCCTCTAAATACATTTAATCATATTCATATTCATGTTTTATAATTAATTCACTACAGACTTGAATTCAATTGAATGAATAATTAGGACCAATTGCATATAAAATAGGTAAGAGAATTAGCATGCATGATCTCAACTACTTCAGCTAACACTGTCCTTGTTCTAACCAGGCTCCTTCATCCTGTCCACCCCGATTTTAATGTACCAGCGTATAGAGGAGGGTTACTGGTACGGCCCGAGGCAGTACTGCATGGAGAGATTCCCCTCTAAGACACATGAGAGGGCTTTCATCCTCTACCAGTTTATTGCTGCATATCTGCTGCCTGTCCTCACTATTTCCTTTTGCTACACTCTGATGGTGAAGAGGGTGGGCCAACCCACTGTAGAGCCTGTAGACAACAACTATCAGGTAAGGTTTATTTTGTGCTTAATTGTAATTACTTGACTTAGCTTAAAGGCTTGACTGCAAGCCCTCACTACTAATTGTTAGCTAATTAAAAGTTTGAAAGTTCTCTTATGTATATTGTGGCACTACCTTTCCCTTTATAATATTTGTTATCATGCTTTTAATGTTGGTTGTCTTTGAACGTTTCTTTGAAAGCACCTTTCTTTAAACCAGCTGTAATCAATTGTTTTGTAGTTACAATGGATCAAATGACTATATATATATATATATATATATATATATATATATATATATATATATATATATAAAAAAGGTGTTGCTTGAAATAATGTAATAACAAGCAGACAAGAATTATCACCCAGCTCTGCAGTTCCCTTTAGCTCTATGGAGCTTTTCATCGTCTTGTAGTTTATTGTTTTGCTTTTACAGTCTTCAACTTCAGTGTTTTGGTTGACCCTCACTCTAATAGCGATTTTCAGCTCCACCAGGCAGCTATTTTGAGTAAAAAACAACAACCATAGAAATCCATTGTTCGTTCCTGCCAAGCACCAAAAGACACGCAGAAAAGGTTAACGAGTACCTGGTGAATTAGGGAAGCACATTTAGGAGCTAATGAATTTCCCCCCACAGAGCTAAAACAAGAGTAAATATTGTACTGGTAAGGTAACACAAATCCAAATGAGTTATGTCGTTCTGTATGTAATGTGTAAATTAGCAATGATCAGGGTTGTGTTAACAGCCGCTCTCCCCAATTGGCCCAAAAAAATAAAATAAAAAATCTGTCATTGCAGGTTTGAACAGTTTTATGTGTTGTGTGACTGTATGAAATTTGAAATGAATCAATATGTTTGAACTGAAAATGTTTCAACTTTATGAATCTATGGTTACTAGTACTTCATGAGTGTACAGTGATAAGAGGAAAAAGGAGAGAAAAAACCTCCTATTGCAGTTATTAAGTTAAAGAGTACCCGTTGAGTTCTGAGATCAGTTAGAGACTGAGCTTCCACACAAACACAGGCATACACTGACTGCAGGGACTGGTGAAACCACAGGCAATGGGACTCAAATGCACTGACTCCAGATAGGATTTTGGTATGAAAAAATACACAGGCTTTACTTGCCAAAATGGGTTCGGCACACACAAAGTTAATCAGAGCAGGCAAACAAATCCAACAGGGAAAAGGCAAGGCAGGGTCAAAAAACAGACAATGAGGGGAACTAATGAGACACAGGTGACAGTACTCATGGCGTGGAAAACAATCAAAACTGGAGGGAAAAAGACAAAGACAGGCAGTAAAGTAGAACAAAACACAAGATGAGGAAAACTACAAACTAAAAAAGGAAATAAAAAAACAAAACAAAACAAAACAAAAAAAGCATAATGCCCTCAGGAAAAAAAAACGTTTTTAGGTGTAGTGGCCGCAGTATTTCAACTTCTGCATTAATCACATGACACCCATTGGCCCAAAAAGTATTTTTTTACATACACAATCAAAGCTTCTGTAAAATGGTGAATGCACAGACTGCACAAATGGTCCAGTGGTCAAATTTGCTCAAATAACGCAAGGCACAAAATTCTGAATGTCTGAACACACTTTAAGAAAACTGTCATCTTCTCCTCCTCAGGTCAACCTCCTGTCTGAAAGAACCATCAGTATCAGGAGCAAAGTCTCCAAGATGGTGGTAGTAATCGTTCTCCTCTTCGCTGTCTGCTGGGGTCCCATCCAGATCTTCGCTCTCTTTCAGTCTTTCTACCCAAACTACCGGCCCAACTACGCCACATACAAGATCAAGACGTGGGCCAACTGCATGTCCTACGCCAACTCTTCTGTCAACCCCATAGTTTATGGTTTCATGGGAGCCACTTTCCAAAAGTCCTTTAGGAAAACCTTCCCATTTCTGTTCAAGCACAAGGTCAGAGATAGCAGCATGGCTTCGAGGACTGCCAACGCTGAGATAAAGTTTGTTGCTGCAGAGGAAGGCAACAATAATAATGCAATGAATTGAATTTGACAATTAAAAATAGGAAGAATGAGTTTATTGTTTGTATCCGGGTCAATCACTGCAGAAAGAAAATTAAAATAATGACAATTTTCCCACCCTGGGTTCATTGTGTTTGAAAATCTGCAACAGCAACTGGCTGATTTTAAAAAAGGACCGACCCTGTGTGTTTTGGCAGACACATTTATTGTTATATTGAATGAATACAACTAATTAATGAATTGATGTGTGGACAGGCAGACTCATAATACGGATGGACACTAACAGTGTTTGGCACAATACATTAGATGTTCTGCTGCCAAGGCCAGGTGGCGTTGGCACATAACATCATCCATCGAGATGCCAAATAACAGAGGACAGTCGTACACATCTGATGGCAGCAGAGGAAAAGGTTGCCTGAAAGTCGCAGGTGGGACTCTTAATCCCTGCAAGATCATGGCTGACAAATTCTACAGCTTTGGTAACAAGTCAGCATTGGGACAGCTTATGATATTATGTATTCTAAGACACATGAGAATATGGTAGTTTGAATTTGCATTTTGAATGGACAATTGATACTCTAGAAGAGATTCCTATGGCATTAAGTGGTTGTCATTTGTTCCTATCACTAGAGAGAAAGATAATAACTCAAGAGACACTTCCTGTATCTGTCGTTCTGGGAAACTGTAACACTATTACATTTTTAAAGGATTAGTTTGAGATTGAGATTTTGGTTTGAAATATTCCTTTTGGCTTTCTTACAGAGAGTTACGTGAGAAGATCGTCACTGCTGTCATATCTGAAGGAGTGGAAATGGGGTGAAACAGCTAGCCTGGCCCTATCCAAATTAAAAAATATACCAACATCTCTAAAGCACATAAAGTAATAGATACACAACAACATGCATGTCAGTTAGTAATCTTGAGGTTTTGGTAGGCATATTTTCTAATTTTGGATACAACAAAGCTCGTTCATTTCCCTCAAATTATTAACTTTAACCTGAGTCGTACGTATGCTTATGAAGGTCGCTGTTTAAATCACGTTTTCATCCCAAGTATTGGCCAATTTTGCAAATATCTCTCTGGTGTCGTTGGGGCCAGGCTTTCTTTGCCTTAGCTGGTCTCGACAAAACCTAAAACCCTGGTTAGGTATAAGATGGTTAACTGTTAACCCAGGCTTTTTTTCAGTTATGATGAAAAAAGTTATGCTTTTCTGAGAATCCAACAAAAGAAAGCCCGATTTCCAGTTGAATGGGAGTGTCTCTGCTGGTAAATGTGATGAGTGGGAGCTGGCTGGAGCAAGGGTTACGACCAGTGAAGCATGGACAGTGTTTACCTTTCTTTTGTGTCCTACACAAGCAATCACACCTTCCTGAAAACATATGCACAAATAGGCATGCACATATACCTTCACCCAGGATATCCAGGTGTCAGTTGGAACACCAGTTGTCATATCTTTGAGAGACACCCTTGTGTGATCTTGTCTGACGGTTTAAATTACAAATAACGTAGGCGACCCATACAGCCTTTGCCCTGCATTTTGAAGGAGAAGTTGTTGAGAGAGCAGCTGTCTGGTGTTGGAAATACAGCCAATCATTGTTGAGAAATCTACAAAGCCCCTGCCAGCTCTCCACTTTCTAGATGCAGTCCTTTATAACTATTTATCCCACACAGTGACATTCAAAATCTGAACTCCAGTTATGGCCCATAGAAAATCTGCTAATGTAATCCTCATTTGAATTGTAGATATTGTAGGACGTCAGGGCTCAATTTGAATTACATCAAAGTGTCTCAAAAGGAAAACCATCTGGGCTGCAATAATTAACCATGAACAGGTAACCAAAGGTACTCGAGGGTTGTCGTTAATTGAGGTAACACTTTGGGACATCATATGACAAGAAGTGGACAAACCTTACACAAAGGTGGCCACCTTTGTGTAAGGTTTGTCCATCTTTGTGTAACTAAAGATGTAACCTAACATGTTCAGTAGTTGATACTAATTATATGTACCTCTGAATATAGTTTTAGCACATGTACCTTGTAGCCACACAAAAAGTTTTTACTTTTACTGAAAAAAAAATCCTTGACATTAACTTAATTTAAATGGATTTGATTGGCTCTATTTTAGCAGGAAGTGATTAGACAATTTTACATAATTATAATTTTATAAAAGGCAGCCAACAAACGGAAATGTCACTGAGTTAATTCAGCCTGGAATAAATGATGTGCTATAAAGGGTTTATTTCTATCTGCGTCTATTGTGTCTACCGTGTCTAATGTCTCCTGACTGCTTATTGGGTTTTAATGAATGCGAATTGTGATGCATTTCCTTTTCAGACTATTGTACATCCATTAGGACCGAGGTCATCAATAATCTGTGTGTTTTCTGCTTTACATTAAGTATTCTCTTGTATCTACGCCTTTTCTGAGATTGTGATTCTTCTACATGTCTGTTCTGGTTGTTCAGCAATATCTTCAATTAAGCTTCAACCTTAAACAATAAAACAATTGACCATTAACTGTTTGGGTATGCCATTTTTAAACCAAGAAGGTCATTGTGGGATGATTTGATAATTTCTCAGGGTTATGTGAAATTATGTCTGCAGTTAAATTTACTTTCAACTTTTGAACATGGAGGTATTTAAAACGGTAACTAATCTTGTTGGTACTAATCATGCATTACCCTGCAAATAGAGAAATATAGACATAACATAACATAGAAATTGTAGTAGGGTGGCCCATAGATGTTGAATGAAAGTCACTTTTGCCTTTGAGTGGTGGGCTTTTGAAGTTCATTCGACACCTCTGGGCCACTGTAGCTCAGCCCTGCATAACGTCATATTAGCTGAGTTAAAACTTGAAACAGTGTTTTTATTTCTTGTCAGCCATTAAACAAAAAGGATCTGTCTGCTTGATGGTTGATTTTCTAACTGAGTATATTATTAGCTTCTACTTAGTAAATCAAAAACAATTGCCTGCTGTAGAATTGGGGAGCCAATCCAGGAGAGATTAATGAAAAGGTCCTTTCATATTAGCTTTTACTCTCATACTAATTAATATGCAATAGCACCTTAATAACATATTTATCATGATTAAAAATGATTTAAAAAAAAGTTATAAAACTAATTGTACCTCATTTAGGATATTCATTAGATTTTTAGGGGCTGTAGGGATGGCAATGTCTGTTGTTGGTCTTTTCACCAGTTAGGATATGTCTGAAGATGGTTGTGATGATGACCTGACTTTTCACAGCCACCAGCAGGTCAAAGTTTTGAATTATCCAGTGAAGTATATGCATATCTGCTGGATAGATTAGCTCAAAATGTTTTGAATTTTGACACCTTTTTTAGAACAACCACAAGGTTTTTATTTTTACTGTAATGTCTCAACAACTACTTGGTTGGATTGCCATTAAATTTTGGCCAGACATTCTTGGTCCCCACAGGATGAACTGTAATAACTTTGATGATCCGTTAAGCACCATCATCAGGTCAAAAATTTAAATTTGTACAGTACTTTGGTTAATTATCAGCCTCAGTTGTACTTTGTTTTAGGTGCTGATCAGCAAATGTAGCGCTCTAAACCAGTGATCCTCACTATTTTTTTCACAAGAGCCACATTGGCAGAGCAAAATCAAGAGGAGAGCCACTTTTACGACAACATACCAAGTCACCTTTGCAAATGTGCATTTCTACATATGAATTGCACATCCCAGTGGAGGTTGTCCTGTGGATAAGATTTTGCTGCTCACAAAGTGAAGCAGTGAGCGGTGCTATTTTCCTCTTTCTGAGTTCACTGCCAGGCGGATAACTTTCATTGAATTCTGGATGCGCCATTTTGAAATGGTGCTCCAAGTTGCTTCGTTTGAAACAGGTGCAGGTTTTTTTGCATATTAAGCACAGAGTGTTCATGCCATGAAGAGCAAATAAGAATTCGTCTATCCACTTCTCTTGAAATTTCCTGTGCTCATATTGCATGCCTCGTACCTTTAGTTTTTTACCGAGAACACCTGACGTTTGCCTGCTCGTCCCCTCTCCGGCGTCTTCATGTTGATTTTCGTTTGCTACTTCCTCGGACTCCTTTTCCTCACTATTCGTTACAACGCTGTGTGTCTGTCTGTCTGGTTTTTGTGCTGGTTTTTGCCCTTTTTTTTTATTAGAAATCGATCCATTTTGTGCCTGCATCACACGCTGGCTAGCGGAGCTAACATAACCTGGCTGCAAGCGTGCACTACAGTCAAGTGTAAACAATGCCATAAGCGGGCTGCGTTGCCAGGTTTGATAGTGCCCCCTTTAGGAAACACCATTTATTAAGGTGAAAGGAGAAGTATAATGCAGATGTTTGTGTTTTTTTAGTGCAGTGTTCACTGCATATTTATGTAGCACATTTGAAAAAATGGCTGTGTTACCATATTGTTATAAGCTACCATACGAGCCACCAATTAAAGCTTGACGAGCCGCATGTGGCTCGCGAGCCGCGCAATGAACTAAGATGGTGAACACAGTGAACGTTACACGCTAAACATTAGCATGTTAGGATTTTCATTGTGAGCATGCTGATGTTAGTCTTCTGCCCGGACTTGTTTGCGTACATAGCTCTGCAGAAAGCCAAACAAAACATATCAGACACGTTAGTGCCTGACCAAACATAGCTGCCATTTTTTCCGACCTGTGTGATGATATCGGGAGGGAGATGCTACTTCAAGAAACAACAACATCATCCAAAGTGGTGTGTATGAATTAACATCATTCTGATTTTACTCTTCCATGTTTCATTTCATAGAAAAGTGCTCTAGACTCCTTTTGGTCAAGGTCACAGAACACACTGTGTTCTTCTGTCATGGCTGTTCCTCGGTTTTGTTCCCTTGTGTTTCCCTATTTCCTTGTGTCTTTTGTTTTTCCCTGTCTGTCTTTGAGCTCATTCTCATTTCTCTAATTTGCCTCCTCGTCTAATCTCTCCCCCATCCTCCTGCCTGTGACCCAGAAATCTCTCTCCTTTGTGTCCCTTCTCGCCTCCTCCACTCGCATCTTGGGTGGGAGGGACTTAGATGCGAGGATTGAAATCGAGGATGTAGAAATTGGGAAATAAGAAAGTTCTTGAGTGCTTTTCATTATGCTAATGTGTCAAACAGCATTCACGTTCCACATGTGGAGATGCGGTATTTTTAGATCACGCATTGGATACTTGCTCACTCCTCGTCTCATCCAGATGACTTGGATGATAATAACTATGATAAGCAGAAGCATAAATTCTCCTGCCTCTGCTCTCTCTCTGCCTACTATTCGCCTGTCTTCAGGATTACCTGCCATCAACCAGCCCTCGTTCCCTGGATTCTCTCCCAGTCCCTACCTTTCCACAGATAACTCCCATCACCTCAGCCACAATCTCACCATCCCTTCTGTACTTTCAATAAAAGACTTATTTTCACTTAATCTGCTTATCTGGTGTCTGTTTAAATAGTGACACAAACAAATGACTGTAATAGAGAAGATTTAATCCAGTAAAAACAGGATGACACTAAATACACAACCCTTGACAGATGAAGTGAGATTGCTGCTAAACTGAAAAACGAAATACTGAGAACATCCTTGACAGTTCAGTGGCACAGAACAGTCTGTATACAAAGGTCATGGTGAGAGATGTGTGTGCATTTAATTCTCTCTTTTTCTTTTTGCTCTTTCAGTGTGTCATAAGCTGCTGTGCCAAGCAGTCATATGGTTGCTAATGGAAAACACAACAAAAGAACATTCCCCATTGTTGATTTTCAGATGCTTAAAAAAACCAAAAACAAAATACAGACAATAACGCAACAATTGTGACTCACCATTCCTGAACAGAAGATCTACCCACACTGTGCACCAATGTACTTTGTGATGATGACCTTTGCAACAGTAATGAGTGTTAACGCCACTGTTGTCCATTTAGCTGCTAACTCTGACTGAAGCTCTGGAAAACACATGGACAGTACAGGCAACTTTTTCATGATTCAGTGCCAGGTAGAGCAAAATAAAGGCTGCAGGGAAACAGCAAGTACTCAGAATGTGGGAGGCTTGATTCAATATAAAGGTTTAAGCCAGTGACACAAAGGCCACAAGGTACTCATGTACTCAGCATATTGTAGCCTGTGTTCTCCTCTATGACACATCTCTTAATGTTCTCTATGCATTTACCCTGTATAGATTGTCTTTTTGCAGCCAAACTGGACACATACATTTGAAACAAAAAACACTCTCACTAATTTAAAATGTGTAAACAACATGTGTAATTTCCATAATAAATTGGATCAAGTTACCATACCAGCTCAGGCATTAATAAATCTGATGGAGGCAGGCACAAAACTTGACATGGCCATCTTAGTCCTGAATGGAAGTGACCTGTATCTGCAGCTTGAAGGTAACTCGATTGGGTGTCATCCTGGGTAGAGATTGCGGAGGAATTAGCCGCTCCAACCTTGGGAAGCGCTCCTGACTCAGTGGGAAGACCGGTACCTTTGAGAATCCAGTATTGGGGATATTGGGATTCACCAAATGATAAAATCTAGCCTTTACCTTACTCAGAAGCTAATATCTGGTATAGTAATAAAAAAAGACCCAGTATTCATCTACTGACCTGGTTGGCTTTTTGACCAAAAGGTCCTCTTCAAAGCATGAATAGAGTCCAACAGCTGCTCACCTTTGTGGCATTCATGTCATATCGGTATAATCTTAATGTTGTGTTAAACAGAGGAACCCAAAAGCAGAACACAAACTCGGTGAATATGATTACCAAAACAAGGCTTTATTGCAAAACTAGTCGGGGCGGGGGGGCAATGACAATCTGGCTGGCAGTGGTGAGGGGATAATGGCTGAGAGTGGAGCAGAGGGTGGAGGCAGTGTGGCTGAGCAGGAGCTGAAACCTTGAAGTGGAGAGTGTGGCAGATGAAGGTGCAGTCTGGCTGGCTGGAGTGCAGGTGATGATCTGAAGGTGGCTGGTAGATGGCTGGCAGACAGATGAGGCACAATCTCCCATACTGCAAGACTGAATAATGTGGCAAAGAGTGGATATACTGTTTGGTAGATGAGTTGATTGAACGCAGGTGAGCAGACAAGGAGAGTTGATGAGTTAATTGCAGATAGGTGTGTGGAGCAGAGCTGAAAGGCAGGAAGGAAAACCACACCTAAAACACACAGACACAGACAGACAGGAGACCGAGGGGAGGGGGGAAACACAACAAAACACATGGAAAAGGCAGGGTACAGCCATGACCATGACACTTAATTACAAATATCCAACTTTAAATAGTATTCACATCATTTACATCGAATTTGTAAGTCATGGAAACTTTTCATATATATATGTAGTAAGGATGTTCCTGGCAACTAATTTTGCCGTCAGTTAAATGAAAGTTTTATCTAGACTAGTAACTAAACACAATTTATAGACTGTGTATATGCACAAACTGCACACACACAGCCAGGTCTCAGTATATTGTGATACATTATTGGCATTTATATGTCAGTAAACATGTTGGGATACTACTG